GAGACTGAATATTTACTAAGACATGAGGCATAAGTAAACACACATGTTCGTATGACGCAAAACCTTTGTAAACATGCGGATCACGTTACTGCGCAAGGTTGTTTTTTTCTTTTTAATCTAACTTGAGAAAATAGTCGATTGTTTCTGTTGATTATTCCAGGTCTACACCATTTTAATTCAGTCAGCAGTTTGATTGAGGTATTAACATGAAGGCTTTTCAATCCGATTGAGCCATTAATAAATATAAACGTAGCTATTGTCTTCTACAATCTGCAACACAAGAAAACTTAGTTTAGTATTTCATGACCCTTTAAGTAAATGACCACACAGAAAAAGTGTTTAGCAGTTTAGAAGAACTGATCAATACATGATTAGCTCCGTCTTGGATAATACACATTATTTTGTGATGATTATTTGTCACTATTAGTCACAAATTTATGGATTTAGATTTATAATATTCAACTGTAAGATTTATGTAGCTAACTGAGAAAAATATGTATGGAAGTCTGTTTCCGCCACTGAATAAAAAAATATAAAAGATTATCAGAATTGCATATAAAGTTGCAATTGAGTTATAAAGTCAGAATGTAATTTTTTTTTGTCTTCATAACTCGAAATGGTGAGTTTATACATCTAAAAATTCTGAGAATTTCAAGAAAAAGTCCAAATTGCAAGATATAAACTAATAGAAAAAAAACATCAGAATTAAGCGATATAATTGCAATTGTGAGAAAAAAGTCAGAAGTGCGAGTTTATATTTCACAATTCTGATTTTATTTCTCGCAATTGAAATGAATCAAAAATTTTCAAGAAGCTAGAGAATGCATTGACGTATTTTGTTCTCGATTTATTCCTTACGTTGTCTTTAATTGCTTTTAGAAAAAGTCTTCAATTTACCTTCATAAAACCCGCACTGTTGCATTTTAAATACATTTTGAGAATTATTTTATTACTGTTTTGTTTTATTTTTATATGAGACTTTTATTATTTTTATTATTAAAAAGTCTGAATTGCGAGTTTATCTCATTCAGTTCTGAGGGAAGAAAGTTACAATTGCAAGACTTAAGGCCCGTTCACACCAAGCACGATAACTATAAAGATAACGATAAAGATATAGTTCTAAAAATTGTTCTCAATATTAAACAATAGCATAGTTCACAGCACAACGATAACGATACAGAGGAACCATATCGTTGTGATCACTTTCAAAATGATTTTTTTTTCCAGCTGATGAACGATAAAACACTGACAGCCAATCAGAATCCATCCTGCTATAACGAGCTCAAGAATTTAAAGCGGCAGACGCATGTGCGCTTAGAATAAACAGACCATATCCTTCGCTGATGTGGACGCTAATATCGTTATCTTTATAGTTATCGTTCTTGGTGTGAACGGGGCTTTAAACTTGCAATTGCAAGAAAAAAGGTCCGAATTGTGTGAGAAAAATTTGCATTAAAATTGTTTTTTTTTTATTCAGTGGAAGAAACTGGCTTCCATAAATACGTGATTATTTGTAACACTTGTTTTCCCTGTTTTTTTGCCCATAGATAATGCAATACCTATAAAGTCATGGTTTAGTGACCCCAGTGACACCGCACTTCTTAACCTGCTGCCCATGCTGGATGCACTACGGTAAAGATCTAGAGCATTCAAAACATGCAAAAATGATTTTTACTTGAACTCCACTTCACTGTGTGTTCCCTTTTCAGATTCACGGCAGATGTACGATCCGTCCTGAGCAGAAATCTCCACCAGCATCGACTCTGGTGATCATCCGACCAAGGGCTTTCTTCAAGTCCGCTCTTCTTTTTTTGCTTTTTGTTTTTTTCCAACTGCTTCCCTCTGCCTGTCCTGCTTCCACTCGTCGCCTCCCGGAAACGGCCTTACGTGAGGGCCATCGGGAGGAGAGTGTCCTGAACTCAAAGGGGATGGAAAAGGCAAACTTTAGGATGTTTCGGGAAGCTTTTTTTTTTTTTATCCCTACGTTTTTTTTGTCCCTTCAAAATGGAGCCTCTGCCTTACAGCTCTACCTATGCTGGTCGTGTGTATGAGTTATGTTTGTGGTATGCGTGTACGAGGACATCTGCTGTTTTTCTTTTTAAATATTTGAGGCAAGAAAAAAGACTTGTGTCTTTTCGATCCCAGCTTGGGACGTCATACCTCACTTCTAAAGGTGGTGCGAATGGAGATCTGCTCAGAACTGGCCAGCAGCACTCTGCACATCCAATAGAGTTCACTGGAAAACTTGTTGACACGGATTATGACAGACTTTCAGGGTTATCATGGTAGAGTTATATATGCTATAATTGAGGTACTGTCTCTGAAGACATGGGGTTTTAATGACTTCTGTATGGTAGGCCTGTTCAAATTCGGATCATGAAGATAAATTCTGCAGCAGATTCTTAAGTTTTTTTAGCAGTAAATGAATTGGTCATGATTATCAGGGAGGATGTAATAGAATACGAGCTTTGAAGAAGCTGAACGACAGATTTTAAGCCTTTCTGCGCTAATTGTTCTCTACAGAATGTATGTGGTTGGTTATGAAATCCTACCACTTGGATGCCTTTTTACAAATGTGTTTTTGTTTGTTTTTTCCTGAAAATGTAATAATGGCAAGACTTGAATTTATAAAACTTCATTGTGTTGAAGAGATGACGGAGCAACAGACACCTTTTTTTTGTACTCAAGGCCATGTTGGTTTCTCTGTGCACCTGTCAGATAATGTCAGTTCTATTCTCATCGGTCTAACACTTGTGAAGTCTCAAGGCAGCTTCCTGGGACACAAGTCCGTAGACCTGTGCACGTTACTAATAAAAACGTGTCACTATCCTATACTATGGGTTCAGTTTTCATTTACGCTCTCGTTAATAGTTTAAGGGAACAGTTGCAGAAAATCATTTCTAATGCAAAATTTTCTCTAAGCAACAAATATGTTCTACCATCCAGATGCATAAAAAACAGGTTTTTACGTAAAAAAAAAAAACTAAACATATATATATATATATATATATATATAACTTGATTAAGTTTAGTTTGAATTGAGCTCAAAACAAAAATAACCAATAATTGGTGGGGTAAGAAAAATATATTTAGAAACCGTTTTCTTCATCTTGTTTTACAGGAGTTTACATATACTGGACAACACTCTCTCTCTCTCTCTCTCTCTATATATATATCTATATCTCCGGTTATGAGCGATAAGTAATGTTTTATTAGAACAAAGTATACAGGAGTATACCAAAATATAAAAAAATTTACACCGAGTGCACACAACCTAAATTATCACATTTTCTCCAGTGTTATTTTAGTTTTTAGTGTTTTATATTATTTCATTTGTATTAATTTTTTGTGTTTGTCATTTTAATTAGTTTTTTATGTTTATTTATCTATCAATTTCAGTTTTTGTTATTTTAGTACAAGTTAAAGGGGTCATATGATGCTGCTAAAAAGAACATTATTTTGTGTATTTGGTGTAATGAAATGTTTATGCAGTTTAAAGTTAAAAAAACATTATTTTCCACATACTGTACATTATTGTTTCTCCTCTATGCCCCGCCTCAAGCGTGTGACGGAAATGTTACGCCCCTCACATACTGTTCATGCCATGTCCCGGCCGGAGCGACGAGACATAAACATTAAAACCCATTATAAACGAGGCATTTGTTGCATCCAGTGGGGACATAATTACGGATTATAATGATTTATACAGTTGCGTTGCATCGCACCACGTTAACATAAAACTCTGTCTGCATTTGTGATCGGAGAAATGACAAACAACAAGCACTGCTCAAAAAAACTCGCTTTAAATATAAAAAAACGTACTTACAGGCTGTGAGTCAGAACAGCCGGCATTGTAGTCTACTCTACCAGGATCAGGAAACAGTCCTCCATAAAATGCGCTGCACACATCTGAATATTTGGGTTGAACTGTTCTGGAACAGTGTTGTAAATACAACTTAACCACTGATTTGTAGTCATGTCCTCTTTTGGAAGACCAAACAAAGTAGTTTCGCTTTCACAACGAAACACACAGCGCCTTCAGGACATGGCGGCAGCAACAATACTACAGCGAGAATAAAAGATACGCTGCCTTTCTTTGCGTGAACATTTGGGCGGCGTTATGCAAATCTTCCCACATCGTGACGTAGACATGTGGGGGCGTGTTGGAACGAGCCGTTTTAGGTAGGCGTGGCTGACTCTTAACTTTTATAAAGAATATCTCTTTGGATTTGAGACTTTAGTCTTTGCAACTTTACAGATCTTCTTTATGCACCAAGAGCTTGTAACACTCCAAAGAGAAAGGAAACATTGAAATCGCATCATATGACCCCTTCTAAACAAAATGAAAATGAGAAATGTTTCCTTGGAAGCTAGCTGAATTAAAATATTTTTAATATTTTATTTCAGTTGACATTTATTTAATAGCAAGGATTTTTATTTTTTTAGTTTTAGTGAACTGTAATAACCCTGATTTGCTCCTAATAATAAAAACAGCTCTGCGTCACTTTGGATACCGGAAGTGAAGGGAGACGGTCATATGACTGGCCGGAGCACCGCTTGTATATCTGTATACGCGAAGAAGTAGTTCCTTCCTCACATAACGAGATATCAGAAACGTCTTTAGTAACCATCGATCACCTTTAATAGGCCTTGTATCAAATGTTTCAAACAATTTTTATGCATGTGTGATTCTCTGGAAAATGCGGGTTTGTGTTGACAAAAATAATGTAAATGTAGTGCGTCCGTATTAATGCGCAGACGGGGAAGCTCAGCAGCTGTGTGTGTGTGTGAAGCGCTCTGAAACACCTCTGTGTGAGTGTTTACAAGACTAACTTACGCTTCCTTTAACAACCATGAAGTTTCAATACAAAGAAGAGCATCCTTTTGAGAAGAGGCGATCGGAGGGAGAGAAAATCAGGAAGAAGTATCCAGACAGGGTTCCTGTAAGTCGGTGTGTTGTGTGTAAACAGAAGCTAGCGTTAGCATTATGAGAAGCAAAACAAACAAGGAAAACGTGCAAGGCGTGATGTTTCTACGTGATTTAAACGATTCGTCCGTCATAAAAAACAAATAAATTCATCATGTGTTCATTCGCTGTCTGTAAGCACAAGTTACACGAACGTAAACACGTTTAGCTTTAGCAGCGCGTGAAGGGCGAAACTGCTGAAGGCCTTGTTGATCTCAGCGTCTTTATTATTATTATTATTATTCAAATAAAGTGTCTGCTCGTGTTATGCACATTTGAAATCACTCTTCAGATCAAATCTGCTTTGATGCACGAACAGATAAATACTCGTTAAGGTGGTTTGTGTTTTGTCTGCTTTAATCCTCAAGGCTTTATGGACAGATTGAGCTCCTGTAGTGTGCAGATGTGTGGATGGTCGTATTTAAATGGCATTTGTGAGGTAAAATAATACATTTAGGACCATGTTGAGGTAGTGATTCCTAAAATAGCCTCGATGGCCTTCAGTCAACATGTTTACATCCACAAGCTTGGCTTTGCTTGCCATTTAAACAACCAAACCAGTAAAGCAACAAAACTAGCAATCCTCTAACAATTAAATATTGCAGCAGTTTTAGTATTTTTCTTTCTTGCTGCTGTTTGAACCTGTTACTACCAAAAGAAGGTTATTTATAAGATGCTTTGTGGCATATAACATTTATGACGTTCAGTTGAATTATTTGAAACACTAATTTTGTTTTACAAATAAGATTTGAGACATTATGTTAATTTTGGTAACAATGGACGTTTTACATATGAGGAAAAACAAAACATGAATATATTTCCGAGAAGCAATGTAGTCTTAAATAGTCTTGGGTCTTATCTTGTTCCTCATCTGCAGCCTAATTATCAAAAATAGCACAGCTTCTCTCAGATCCTCTTTGCTCGGAGTCAACAAAAATCACCCTTTGTGGGCTCGAAATATGAAAGAAATGAGTGAAATTAATTGAAAGTAAACCAGCAGTTTATATCAGTTTCACCGAAGGCTAGATTAGGGGAATAGTTCACCCAAAAATGAAAATTTGCTGACCTTCAGGCCATCCAAGATATAGATGAAGTGATTAAGCATTGCTCACCAATGGGTGCCGTCAGAATGAGAGTCCAAACAGATGATAAAAACATCACAATAATCCACACCACTTCAGTCCATCAGTTAACATCTTGTGATGAGTAAAGATGCATGTTTGTAAGAAACAAATCCATCGTTTTAACTTTAAATCATCGCTCCTCGCCAAAATCCATAATAACGCTTCCTCCAGTGATAAAGTCCATCTCCTGTTGTCCTCTCACATCAAAATCCACCCACATACTGTTTTGGACTGTTTGTTTTTCACTTCTAAACAGTGGTTGGTCTGTGCAGATTTCTGTCCCGATGCAGACAAGAGAACGTTTTCACTGGAGGAGACAATATTATGGATAGAGGACTCATATTTTAGCCAAAAGCTATGATTTGAAGTTAAAAACGTCTTGGTGGATGTTTCTTATAAACACAGTTTTTCTCTTCACAAGACGTTAGATGGACTGGAGTGGTGTGGATTATTGTGATGTTTTTATCAGCTGTTTGGACTCTCGTTCTGACGGCACCCATTCACTGCAGAGCATCCATTGGTGAGCAAGTGATGCAATGCTACATTTCTGATGAAGATACAAACTCATCTACAGCTTGGATGGCCTGAGGGTGAGTACATTGTCAGCTGATTTTCACTCTTGGGTGAACTGTTTCTTTACCTGTACACTATAATTTCTACACTTAAAAGTGTTTGTTTGATTCTGTATTAGGTAATCGTGGAAAAAGCTCCTAAAGCCAGAATAGGGGACCTAGACAAGAAGAAATACCTGGTCCCCTCTGACCTGACGGGTAAGTGTTTTTACGTTTCTAAAGATGTTTTAATGATAATTTACAATCAGAAGAGCAAATGCTGTCAAAAGAAGATACGTTTTTGTTGCTTTGTAGTGAGCATTTGTATGTTGGCATAGTAAAACAAAACTGTAATTTTTTTTATAGTGGGCCAGTTTTACTTTCTCATCCGCAAACGAATCAAAAGAAGATATGTTTTTGTTGCTTTGTAGTGAGCATTTGTATGTTGGCATAGTAAAACAAAACTAATTTTTTTTTATAGTGGGCCAGTTTTACTTTCTCATCCGCAAACGAATCCACCTGAGAGCCGAGGATGCTCTCTTCTTCTTCGTAAACAACGTCATTCCCCCGACCTCCGCCACCATGGGCCAGCTGTACCAGGTATCTCTCTCTCGCCCGTCTTTCACTCTGATTGGTTTGTCCACATCAGTATCAGTTTGTTCCTCTTGTAATTACACTTTCTCACACACAGGAACATCACGAAGAAGATTTCTTCCTTTACATCGCCTACAGTGACGAGAGTGTGTATGGAGAATAGAGCCTCATCTCCTCTCCTTCTTCCTTTTAAAACAATATATAGACGTCATGCTGGCAGCCTAGCGCTCTCGGAACTGAAGTATCAGATGCACTTTTGCTTTCAATTGATCATATCTCCTTTGTGTTTTTATCATTCGGCCTGACATTCAATTCCGATGTTTATTAGCAGTTTTTCATTTTTCACGGGTCTTACCGAAGCTCTAATGCTATGAACAT